CCACTACTGATTGTGGTTACACTGTCCTGTTTTCTTGTGTGCTGATTGTAGTGATGGTGGTGTGGTGGTGTGACTCAGGTCATCCTTTGTTTTCTTTTCTTTTTTGCATACATCCCTACAGCCTAACTAATCTTCCACCTGTTGGGATATTCTTCTTTTTTGTTTCTTAATGTTAATGTTAATGTGTTTTGTGTGTTTTTGCTCTCTCTGTGTTTATCCTATAATTATTATTATTGCTACTCCATTGTGTGTGTGTGTGTTCTTGGAGACTCTCTCTGTGTGTGTACCTGGGCTTGCACTGTGATAATGATGATGAACTGTTTTTTGCAATGAGAAGGAAAAAAGAGAAATAATAATAACAGATGAATTTATATTTGTAATTGCGTATATACATAGACATATATAGACTTACACCCATAGTTGTTGTATTTCTATGTTTACTGTGTAAGTTGGGCTAATGGTTAATTTCTTTGTTTTGCTTGTGGTTCCCTTTGTTTTTATTTGCAGAGAAAAGAAAAAGTATTAATTGATATTTCTGTTGTTAATTGCATACAAACACCAGCATATCTAGAGCTCTGTATTATTTTTCTGCGGTGGGTCCTGTTCTTAATTTTTTTTCTTTCTTTTTCTTTCTCTGGGCGCTGTGTGCTTTGTCCTTCACTTTGCTGTTGGATTGTTTTGTGCGGAAAAACAATAATAAGGAATACACATATATATATTGATTATTGGCATATGGTTCCACCGGAAGTGAAAATGTTTTGTATTTCTGTGCTTTGTGCTTCTGATAATCATTCTCTCAATGCTTTTTCGGTTTTGAGGGGTTAATTGGGATTATCTTTTTTCGTGCTGGGCATTGTGTTCTTTGTTGGGCTCTTTAATCTTTGTGCGCGTTGCCTTGTGATTTTCCTAAGATTTGTTTTTTTATCTTTTTCTGCGTTTTTCCTTGTGTTCTTGTATGTATATAATTTATTTTTTATTTGGTTCTCTTAATATTTTTTTTCCATTGAGTTTTGGTTACATTAAACGATTTAAGTAACTGTTTTCCATGATGTTGCTGCGACGACTATTGTATCATATGGTATTGTTTTTGAGTGTTGCCTGTGTGTGTGTGGCGGCTGGAGAGAATGCAGAGAACGAAGAAAATCTATCTACTGTTGATGGTGATTGTAGTGCTTCAGACAAGGAGAGTTTAAAGTGTGAAAATAAAACTGACGTAGCTGAAGCTGCTCGTGCTGCTTGTCCGGATCCTCGTGTCAAGGAGAAATGCCCTGCCGAGGTTGGTGGGAGTAAAGCCAATTGCCTTAAAGATTCTGAACCTCCTTGTCCACAGCCACCAGAACCAAAGGAACCAGCGCCAACTACACCAAAGGAACTGGCCTCAACTACACTAAAGGGTTCTACTGAGGAAGTTGGACTAGATACAGTATCTGGTGATCCTGCTGGTGAAAGAGGTGACCAGGGCCATTCTGGTCCTACAGGTGAAAGAGGTACAGATGGCAGTAGGCAGGGTTCTGGTACTAATACTGGTAGTGGTCCTGTCTCTTCTTCCGCTCCTCCTACTGTATCTCCTCCATCTCAAGCTACGACTAATGAGGAGAAAAGAGAAGCATCTCCAACTGACACTCAAACTGGAAACAACGGCGGCAGTACAAAAGAAGAGAGTGGAAC